GGCGCAGCCAACTGTGGACACAGGACCAGAGAGGAGCATGGGAGTCTGAAGCTGAGAGACATGCAAGACCCACCATTCCCTCACCAAGGGATGGGGGTGACGGGGAGCCACAGGCGAGCACAGCAGATCTTGGAACCTGATGTACCACCTCAATAACAGCAGACCCTCCACGATACAGATGGTGGAGACTGCCACAGAATTGTGTTAAGGGTCTGAAGGTGAAAGATTCTCACTAGACACCCATCCCACCCCCATGTCCACCATAACCAGGGACAAGCTACCCATCCCACCCCCATGTCCACCATAACCAGGGACAAGCTACGGAAACGGGATTGGAATCTTAGGATGTGTGTGGTGTCACTTCCTTCCTGCAGTATCCTGAGGCACCGGGAAAAGGTGATTATAGGTGGGTGGGCCCTTCGTATGACCTCAGGTAAAGAAAACCCAGCAGATCAACGGATCCCACAAAGCACCAGGAATATCAGCCTCAGGAATCAGACAGGGAAGGGGAGGATGTCTGGCAGAAAATGGATGTCCTGGTCTGCTCTCCATCGCTGTCAGAAACACCACAGGACACGACCAAAAACAACTTGGCAGGAGAAGGCTGACTTTGGTTTACACATCCAATCACAGACCATCATGGAGGGGAGTCAGGGCAGGAACTCATACAGTAGAGGCAGGAACCATGGAGGAAAGCAACCTGCTTCCCGGCTTGCTCATGGATTCATGTACAGCTCCCTTTCTTGTCCTCTGAGGACCCCCTGCCCAGGGGCTGCACCCCACACAGTGGATGGGGTTCTCGACATCAATCATTAATCAAGAAATGCCCCACAGATTTGCCTACAGGCCAATCAGGTGGACACTCTTCCTCAACGGAGGTTCCTTCTTTCAAGAGGACCCTAGCCTGGGTCAAGTTGACAGACAGAAACGAGCCAGCATAGGGGTCTTCCACCACAACATCCTTCTCTCTAGTAGGATTCACTGGCTTAACTTGAGTTACCGAGACTAGCAACACTACCCACCAGCTGTGGAGTATGGTGAGAGAGAGGGAGAGAGGAAGGAGGAAGAGGAAGAGAGAGGAGGGGGGGAGGAGGAAGGGGGGAGGAAGAGGAGGGAGGAAGGGAGGAGGAAGAGGAGGGAGGAAGGGAGAGAAGTGTTGACAGAAACCATGCAAGCATAAGAAACAGGAAAACTAAAGCCCCAGCCAGGAAGAAACACTGACTTAGGGGCACAATATCGTGTATTTATTATTTTGCTCATCTTATTACCTTACTTTGCGTGGGTTTTGTTTTGTGTTTTGTATTTACACTTTTATACTTTAATTCCACAGTTGTTGTGCTGTACCTTGAATCTCACTGGCTTTTACGTCAGTCTTCCCTTTCTCTGAACCCTGATACACTTATTTTCTCTACTTCTTCTCATAGCTCTCACACAGTTTCCTCTCATTCTTTCTCTGTGCCCTACGTCCCCCTCTCCCGCTCCCTCATGCTCACACGACTCAAACACTGATGCTCCTCCCTCTAAAACGTACTATAAGCTATACCAGGTGTGTGCCTGGTGCCCTCAGAGGCCAGGGTGGGGTGTGTGGTCCCCTGGAACTGCAGTTGTGGGCTATCATGTGGGTGCCAGTAATCAAACTCTGATTTGACACCCCAGGCAGGTGTGTAGTGTCACTGTCTCTGTGTCTTAGGGGGGCACAAGTGTCTTCTCCAGTGCTTAGCTCTGGGACTACTGTCAAAGAAAGCACTGTGTTTATTTCAGCTGGCTTCCATGACACGTGAGTCTAAGCAAAGGCAACTTACCAGGAGGATGCACATAAAATAAAACAGAAAAAGAGAGGAGAAAGAGAAAACAAACGAATAGCTGGAGGGCACACACACCCCAACAGATATGTAAACTACAACAAAGGAACCCAAACCCATCAGACAACTCTCCACTACAATCCCTACAAGCTGAAGAGATCTCAGAAAACAACAATAAAAGATAACTGGAAACCAGACGATCTCAGATCCTACTTTTTAAAGGATCAATGTCTGTATATCAAATAAGCAAATGAAGAATGGAAGGAAACTGGTTCAGAACCTATATGAGAAAATTGCCCAAAAGTAACCAAACAGAAATTCTAGAATTGAAAAAAAAAAAAATTAAGCCACCAGGAGAAAGCATCGTCAAAAAAAGATCCACTAGAAGAACAAATACAAATATAAAAGGTGGAGGCCAATCAGACAGTAACACCAATGGATAAAGAAAGAAAGAATGTAATGAGCATGGCGAACCCTCCAAAGAACTCTGAGATATGTTCAAGAGATCAAAGTTAAGAATCTATGGGGTAGGGACTGGAGAAGTGGCTCAGCAGTCAAGAGCACTGGCTGCTCTTCCAGAGGACCTGAGTTTGATTCCTAGCACCCACATGGTGTCTCATAACTCCAGTTTCAGGGGACACTCCATTCTGGCCTCTGAGAGCACCAGGCAAACACACGGTATGCAGACATACATACAGGTGAAACACTCATACACATAAAATAAAATTTAACTTTAAAAAGTTAATTTTTAAAAGAATCCCTGGGGTAGAAGGAGGAACTGAGTGAGATAAAGGATAAAGGCATAGAGAATTTAGTTAGTAAAATTATAGGCAAGAATTTCCCATCCCTAAATAAAAAGGGGGGGGCATCCAAATACAAGAGGCACATAGAATTCCAGGTAGACAGGCTCAGAGAAGACGCTCCAGCGTCCATCTCAGCCAAGGTGTCAACAGCACAAAGCCAAGAAACAAGGCTAAAAGCTTTGAAGGGAAAACAAAACTCACATACACTGGAAGAACTGAGAGGATGACATCAGATCTTCTCTTCGATAGTTCACTCATAAAAATTAGGAAAGAATATATGCCGTAAGATAAATAATTAGAAGAGAGCCCAATGGAACCAGTGATACCCAACAAGAGAATAGATCACTTAATTCTAACCAAGGAAGAAAAGAGAGCCAGCCTCAGGTCAGCCAACAGATCAACAACCAACAAAACAGAAAACAGCACATCCATCTCAGTAGTAATCCTAAATGCAAATGGGGTTAATGAACCAATTAAAATATGCAGGATGATAACTGACTAGTTTATAAAACATGATCCAGGGCCAGTGAGATGATTCAGTGTGTAAAAGTGATTGTTGCCAACCCTGACGACCTGAGTTCAATTCACAGAATCCACATTGTAGATGGGGTGAACTGATCCTGCAAGTTGTCCCATGTCACACACACACACACAGACACACCCAAAGAATGAAAAAGAAAATTTTAAATAAAACCCAATTACCTGCTATCTTCAAAAATCTCATATTACTATCAAAGACCCCCAAATGAAGAGTCAAAGGTTGGCAGCTGAGCTAAGCAGTGAGTAGAACCCATAAACAAACTGGTGTCCTGCCTCTCCTGCCTGATAAAGAAGACTTCAAGCTAAAACCGGTCAGAAGAGATAAAGAGGGTCACTTCATAATACAGAATCTAACTCATCAAAAGTTATAACCACTGTAAATATTTATTCATTGACTCTTGGGGTTGCCAGTTTTATGAAACAAATTTTAAAAGGCATAAAACACTTCATGGATCCTGACACAATAGTAGTAGTAGATGTCACTACTCACCTTCCTATTTAGCTAAGTCTTCCAAACTACAAATTAGTAAAAATGTTAGCGCTAAGTAATACTGCAGATCAATGGGCTTCCTAGACATCTAACAGACATTTCACTTAACATTCTTTTTAGCAGCACATGGAATCTTCTTCAAAATCGATCACATTATAGGCTGAAAAACAAGGCTTAGCAAATAGAGAAGTAAGTCTGGGTATCCTATCAGACCATAATATAATAAATGCATAAGTCAATACCAAGAGAAACTCAGAGACTACATAATTACCTGGAAACCGAACAATCCACTTTTGAATGAACAAGTGGGTCATTGAAGAAATCAGGGAGGAAATTTAAAAATTCCTAGAATCAAAGGAACTGGAGCGTAACCTAGCAGAGCCTCTGATAGACAGCCTTGGCAGTCCTGAGAGGAAAGTTCAAAGCTAAAAGGACTCATGTTAAAAAAAAAAAATCAGAGAGAGCTCAAAGAAATAACCTACTGATGTGCCTCAAGGTTCTACAGAATCCAGAACAAGCCAAACTCAAGAGCAGTAGACTGAAAAGAATAATAAGAGATTAGGGCATAAATTAATGAGATACAGATCCAGAACAATACACAAAGATAATCAACAAAGTGTCAGTTCCTAGAAAAGATTAGCAAGATCAACAAATGCCTGGCCAAGCTAACCAAAAGGGTCAGAAGACGCAAGTTAATTCAATTAAAGATGAAAGGGGGTTGTTAGAACGGATTCCAGCGATATCCTCAGTTGCTGAGAAGGCTTCCAATACTTATATTGGAAAAGTATATAAAAGCTGAAAACCTAGAAAGAAAATTGATCAGTTTCTGTGTATGACCTACCAAATCAAATTCAGAGAACATAAACAGTTTCATCAGATCCATAACAAGCAGTGAGATTGAAAGATTAAATTCATTAAAAATTTCCCCATAGAAAGAAAATGTCCAAGGTCAGATGACCTCGCTGCTGACCCAAACTCTGGTAGAAGATCTAATACCAATCATTCTCAAACTGTCCCCACAAAACCGAAATGAAAAACTAAACTTGTTCTGTGAAGCCAGTGGTCACACCAATACTGTCCAGGCGAATTCGGTCATCTTGACACAAACTAAAATCACCTGCAAGGAGGATACCTCAATGTTAAAAAATGCCTCCATAAGATCGGGCTGTAGGCAAGCAAGCCTGTAGAGCATTTTCTTAACTAGCGGTTAATGAGAGAGGGCCCAGCCCAATGTGTGTGAGGCGGGGGCGGGGAGGGGGTGGGGGAGACTGGGCTGGTGATCCTAAATTCTGTAAAAAAGATGAGCAAGCTGTAAGGAGCAAGCAGTAAGCAGCACCCCTCCATGGCCTTCGCGGCAGCTCCTACCTTCAGGCGCACGCCTGGTTTCAGTTTATGCCTTGGCATCCCACATCACATGTTCTGTGATGCAGAACATGGAAGCCAAATAAACCCCTCCCAGGTCTCCGCTCCCATTTGCTTTGGGTCACGGTGTTTCATCACAGGAAATGTAATCATCCTAGACGTCCATTGTTCTGGCTAGGTTTTTGTCAGCTTAGCACAAGCCAGAATTCTTCACTCCATGAGGGAAGGCAGAGGATAAAGAAAAATAAGACACAAGACTTTTCCAGCCCAGATTACTCCTGGGACCGAGGAGCGGGGCAGATTAGTCGGGACAGAGAGAAGACAGTGAGTGGGTTTGGCGGGTGTATGAGTTAGTTTTCTGTTGTTGGTGTGACAAAACACCATGACCAAAAGCAACTTATGGAAGAAAGAGTTTGTTTTTGGCTTACTATTTCCTAGAGATAAGATTCCATCATGGTGAGGAGGCGCGGCGGCAAATGGCAGGCATGGCGTCAGGAGCCGGAAGCTGAGAGCTCAGGTCCTCAACCACAGGCACAGAGCAGAGAGAGTGAACAGGAAGCTGGGCGAGGCTTTAAGCGCTCATCCTGTAAGGCCACGCCTCCTCAGCCTTCCCAGACAGTGCTACCACCAAGCATTCAAATACAAGAGCCTCCGATGGACATTCTCGTTTAAACCACCATGGGGTGTAACAGCTTGAGAGTCTCGGGGGACATCCTTGGGGAACACCCCACTAGTCTCTGAAGACACACCACAGCTCAAAAAGACAGTTCAACCCTACATTAATATAAAAGTAAATTTAATTCATTAATAAAGTTAAACCCTTCTGTCACTGAGACTGAGTAGCCCTGGGAGAGGTAGAGATTTACACTGAGCCTCTAGTCTCAACCTTTGGAAAGTGAAGGCAGTAATTATGACGTCACAGGACTCTGAGTACTAAGACACACCTATGAGACGCTCCTACAGTGTCTGACACAAGGCCGACACTCAAAAGTTCCCTCCCCTTGAACCAACACAGTAACCTCTGCCTCTTCTCCCGGTGCCATCCTGGCTCCCTCAGTCCGCCTCTGCGCCACAAACCAAGAGGTCTGGTCAAAACAAACCAGAGGTCCCCATCCCTCCTCTTTAAAGCGGTCCGTCACTTGTCCATCACTGTGACAAAACAGCTCAGATAAACAAGTCAAAGGAAGCACTATTTGGGCCCATAATTTCAAAACTTTCAATCCACTCTAGGCTGGCTTTTACTCATGTAGTGAGCCAAAACTCCACGGTAGGAGATGGTGGGTGGCTCACCTCAAGGTGGCCAGGAAACTGAAGGACAAAGGGCAGTCTCTCCCTGCCAAAGACAGGCCTGGCCCCGGTGACTTTTGAGGGAGGGACTAGCCCACTTTCTAATAGCCTGTTCATGAATGAACCATCAATGGATTAATCTGTTGGTGGAGTTAGTGCCTTCATGAGCCAGTCATTTTTAGTAACACTACCAGCCGGGAGTGTTACTTCAACATGGGAGTCTTTGAGGACATCCTTGATTAAAACCACAACATGCGCTAAGATATCCATCTTAACCATGGCCCATGTGACAGCATGCTCCTTCCCGTCTGCGCCCATTTCATGTTAGGGCCTTTTTCACTGCTGTGTCTTCTGTCTGGGGTGCTCTTCCCAAGCTCTCTAAAAGGTGGCTTTTCATCCTCTGTAACACCTCACAGGAGACGATCTTGTGGGAAGCCTTTGAGGATTCTTTCTTCATCTGTCCCAAGCATTCTTCTATCCTGTTACTCTATTGGTACTTTACCTACAGAACATTATTAGTGCAAATGCATGTAACACATATATATTTCCACGATTCCTCTGTCCCACCTCTACCATCTTGTCGGTTCCTTGACAAAGTGTTTGTCTTTTTCCCCACTACTTTACTGTTTGATATACAGTAGGTCTCCATAATAGTTGTTGAAGGGTAAATGAATATTCATGAAAGCATTACGGATCCTTAAATATCAAGTGTGCATTTCTTCCCCAGTAGGGATGAAAGAATTTGACTCAGACATAAGCCCATTGTGCTGACCGACTGTAACCCGGATGTTACAGTGAGGTAACCTAATTAACCTCCCTGACCCCTGTTGGCCTTTTCATTATGAAAGAACCAACAATTGCCACCCTCTTGCCAAAGATGGAGGTAGTAAAGAATAAGAAAAATGAAATCTGGCAAGTGTCTGGAATATTACAAATGAAAGGCCCTCATTTAACTATTCATCCCGTCATAAAGCTGACAGGCACCGGCTAACGCGGCACAATCGCATAATCAAAGCCCCTAAAGTCCTGTCAGACCTCTGGACTATGACAACAATCTGCCAGAATTTCCCCCAAGTACAATGACAATGTAAATCCGGGGATCGCAATTCAGGGTGGCAGTTCCTGAAGTAGGGTTAAAAACAAGGTCACACCCCAGACAGACTAGCAATTACGAAAAGAATGCGAAATGCAGAGAATGACCCACCCGATCTCCAGTCTTCCTTCCTCCCCCAGACACAGTCAGTTTTTCTTCCTGACATACAGGAACCCGCTCCTGGAGCGAAGCCTTCTAGGAGACTTGTTCTTGGGGAAAAAACAAAAAACAACTTTCTGAGGTTCCCTTCGACAAACTGAAGAACACAGCCTGATCTGGTGTTTCATTTCAAGCCCAGGGAACAAGCTGGCCTCTTCAGCGCAGAGACAGCGCTCAGCTCAGAACAACTCTGGTTATACACACCTTCGGTGAGGGCTCCGTTAGAACAGAGTTCTAGAGCCAGCTCACATCTGGCATAGGGATCAGGAATATGGATTTTTTTCACTTAGGCAGCCAAGGCTGTCTGAATTCTGTCACCTGAGAGTTGGGTAACCTCAGTGAGTTATTAGAAATTCTCAGGAACCTCCACCTTTAATTTGCAAAATGGAGATAAACCCTGCCTTTAGAACAAGTGGTTCTCAACCTTTCTAATGCTGGGACCCTTTAATACAGTTCCTCACGCTGTGGTGAACCCCAACCACAGAATTATGTTGCTGCTACATCATAACTGTAACTTTGCTACTTTTATGAATCATAATGTAAGTGTGTGATATGTAAACCCCAAAGGGGTTGTGACCCACAGGTTGAGAACCACTGCTTTAGAGGAGGTGGGTGGGGGAGGAAAAGAGCCACACTGTTCATGCAACACTAGCTGTGAATGGGAACCAACAGCTCATAACTGAGTGTCAACAGTGATTTACAAATCCCAGCTCTTCCTTTTTAATTCCTTTAGCATACGTGGAGTGGCCTTGAGCTTGATGCCGTCATTTTGGAGATGTAGCAACACACACGGGAGACTGACCTCTACCCTCACAACAGACAGATTTGTGTGTAGGCCATCACAGCAGAGGGGTGCCGTGAGGGGCAGAGTTCAGAGCACCCGGAGGCTCCTGGGAGGGGCAAGCGTGTGTCAGCAGGTGAGGAAGGTCTTGGGGGAGATACACTGTATACTAAAGATGCCATCTGAAGGCAGAAGAGGGCAGGACGAAGGGAATCTGATACAGAGGGACATTATTTACAGATAGGCAACAAGCATAAAGCAAGACATTCTCACGTTTCTGAAAATAGAGCCATCAGGGAACACCGTGTGCTTTTCATTTAAAAGGGTGGCGTGGTCGAATTCATATTTTACAATGGTTAATATGGTTGTAGTATGAGAACTAGGTTAGAAAAGACACCACTTTGAGTCCAGGAATTAAGGGTGGACATATTCTAGAGAAATTTAGGAAGAACAATAACAAGACTTAGCAACTAATAGGAGGTGAGCACGAGGAGGGAGGGAGGACGTGGAACAGCAGCAGGTTGAACAACCGCAGCCTCCGAGACAGGATGCGCAGAGGAGAGAGACTTTGAAGACTCAGTATGTCACGAGTCTGGGATGCCTCTAGGGCTATCTGGTGGAGCATCCAGCAGTAAGGTGATGAGGCAGGCCCTGACTTTTCTTTTCTCCATGGTCAACGTCATAGCTGCTTTCTATTCGTACCGAGCGTCCCTGGCATCCAGTCACCCAGGGCTTGTCTCCCTTGAACATGCTTATGTCTGATTCGAGGGGTTTGCTCTCACTGTTCTCATAGGAATCCTCCAAGTATAGATGGCCGAATTCTGATATCCACTTGGACATCACCTCCACAGAGGGGGTCTCTCTTCATAAGACACTCTGCAGTAGCTACTTGGTTATTACTGTGATAAAAGACCATGACCAAAAGCGACTATGAAAGAGAGAGTTTATTTGAACTTAACGTTCCAGAAGGACAAAGGTCCATTACATATCTAATACCAAGTGGTCATTCCTGACACCATATAGACACAAGTAGCATTATACAGACTAAGCAGGTTGTATTCATTAATTAATAATAATACGTGTGTGTGTGTGTGTGTGTGTGTGTGTGTGTGTGTGTGTGTGTGTGTAACAACAATTAAAGAAATAGAGGCCATGAACTTGAGAAAGGACAAGGGTACTGTATGGTTGGGGGGACTGGAAAGGGAAGGGAGAAAATTGAGTTACTTTATTTTAATTTTAAAAATTAAACATATATATGTTTAAAAAGAATCCATTCTGGGGGGGGTAGGGGTGGCAACAGACGGTGTCGTGGGATATTTTGGTCACATTCTGACACTCCCGACACTGCCAATAAAGTTTGCTTTGAATCAGAGGGTGGAGTTAGCTACTAGCTGACCAAAATTAACCATAGAGATTTTAAGGACAGATAGAGAGACACAGGAAGTGGGACAGATAGAGAGACACAGGAAGTGGGACAGATAGAGAGACACAGGAAGTAGTGGGTGGGGCTTAAAGAGAGTCTTGGCATTTTTGGATTGAGAAAGAGGGAGAAGGAGAGAGAGAGAGACAGACAGACAGACAGACAGACAGAGGAGGTCATTGGTTCCTTCTCCACCACTTCTCTGATCATTCAGGTTTTTACCCTGATATCTGACTCCTGAGTTTTTATTGATAAAGAATAATTAGGTAAATGCTTCAAGGTGGCAGGCATTGGGAGATCATATTCCCAACCACAAACATGAAGCAGAGAGAGTGGAAGTGGGGGGAGGGCTGTGAACTCTCAGAGCACCCCTCCCCACTGGCATCTTTCCCCAGCAAGGCTGTACCACCTCCCAAAATGGCATCTCACCAACTGGAGGCCAAATGTCTGAACCTAGGGGGGACATTTCATGTTCAAACCACCACAGTCACCATCCCCAGAGTCAAGAATGTTTTCCAAACTGTAGATTAGTACATTAATTCATTAGTACATTCAGAAGCCTAGTGGAGTCTAACTTGATATCAGTTTTATTGAAATACAGGAGAAAGTAACAACGTACATCATATCATATGGAAGGAAAACAAAATTTGTCAAAGAAAATCATTTTTATGTTTCCTAGGTGAGATTATAAAATGTATTTCTTACGGTATGTGATAGATGAAACAAAAGCATATATATATATATATATATATATATATATATATATATATATATTGTGTGTGTGTATATATATATTACTCAGATTATAATATGAGTTCTAATATGTTTGTTGACTCAGTAAATAACACATTTTCTAAAATATATGAGGTTTAATTTACTCCCAACTGTAGTTCTGTGAGGTGGGGATTATTATGTCTATTTTAAAGATAAGAAAGTTAATGCTATCCCTGTCAAGTGTCTGATCCAGGTAACAAAACTTCTAAGACTGGGTCAAAAGTAAAATCTCAGTCTTGCTGACTATAAACTCTATAAAAACTACAGCTGGGCTTCTTGAGAACGTGGGGGGGGGGGTGTGGCAAGCTCACATAGTGTGAGAAACAAGAAGCTTGGCCTTGGAGCACGGGTAATGGAGGAAGATTCTGGAACACTAAAGGAGCAAGCAGAATGAAGTCCCAGAAAGGAGGGAAGCGCCCGAGAAGGAAGAATGGGGAGCACTGCAGAAGGGTCCCGACTTCAAGGACAGTGAAGACTGAAATAAAGACTGGGCAAATCATGTCCATCAAGCAGGAAGTTGAGAACCAACCCAGTGACTGAAGGGGGGGGGGGAGGTAAATGAGACACAAGTGCGGACCATCTCTACTAGTGTTGGTAGTCTCTGGGAGGAAGCAAGTGTATCGCAGGCCATTTCTGCACATTCGCCTTAGCTAAAGGATGTTCTGGGCACATCTGCTTACTGATGTGTGCTGTGGGATGGTCTGTATGTCTGTATTGCTATGATTGGTCAATAAATAAAACACTGATTGGCCAGTGGCCAGGCAGGAAGTAGGTGGGACAAGGACAGAGGAGAATTCTGGGAAGC